AGGCAGCAGGGAGTGTGTGTGGGAGGGGCAGGGTGCTCCCCAGGGACTGGCTTGTTATCAGACCATCCTATTGCGGCAGATGGGAAAACAGGCTGACGCTGGTGGGGGCCCAAAGCCACACTACCGCGGGTCGTGCGCCCTACTCCAGATACGGGGGAAACGGTCTGCTCCGCTACCCCTTGGAGCACTGCATTCCATAGCAGACACCCCTACCCCCACCCCCACCCCGGAAGCCCCCTCTGGGATCCCCACGGTTGCCGGCAGGGGGCGGCATTACAGTTCACTCCTCCGTGCGGCTCGGGTCTCCACCTCTGAGAGCGCGCGCCTTCAGCCTGCAATCCTAGGGAGGCGCAGGGTTAGAAACCCCTCCGCTGCCCAGGGGTGAGGCTGAGCTGGCTTGCGAGGCCTCCGGGTACCTGGCTGCGGCCTTTGCTCCTGGGCAGGCTGCCCTAGTGGCTCTCGGAGCGACGGCGGGGTGCGTGCGGGGCCGAGCAGCTCCTGCGCGCCCCGAAGCAAGCCCATCAGGATGTGTCCCAGTGAGCGCAGTTCTGTGAGCGGGACAAGGGTGGGGTGTGAGTCAGGTGGGGTCCCGATCCTGGCTCCCCACCCCCGTCTCCACCCCGTACCCCGCTCCTGGGCTGGGAACTGACCGCATCGTCGCCTGCGCTGTAGACACTGCTGGTGCGCCCAGCGCGCACAGGCCGCCTTGGAGCCCGTGCACCGGCGCTGGTAGAAGGTGCACGTCCGGGCCGACGCGGTCAGCGTCTTGTCCGACGGGTCCCAGTCCAGGAGCTCCCTGCAGCTAGGCTCGCGGCTGGAGGGGGACGCTGCGGACCGAACAGGGACCACTTCACCCCCGGCTTCCCGGTTCTTGGCTGGGATCCCGCACGCCCGCCCCCAAGGGAGGCCGCCTTTCTCCACCCAGAGGGGCGGGGACGGGTTTCTCCCAGAGGACGCTCACCGCTCATCTGCTCCAGGATCCAGTCTCGGAATATGGCCACGCGAGTGTAGACCCCGGGTTTGCCCGGCTCCCCGCAGCCGTCCCCCCAGGAGGTGAGACCATACAGCACCTCCCTGGGGTGGGGGCCAGGCTCAGTGCAGGTGAGGGGGCCTCCAGAGTCACCCTGCGAGGGATCGGAGCCAGAGAAGAGGGCACATATAGGATATAGCTCCTCTTTGCCCGGCAGGCTGGGGGCGCTGAGTTTTACCACCCTCTCCACCCTTTGTCCCCATTTTAGAGACGAGGTCTTTGAGGCTCGGAGGAGTCTAGAGACCACCGAACGGAAGGAAAGGGGGTTGTTCCACCTCTCAGGAGCGCACACCCTGCCTGCCTCCTCTGCTGAGTTCTTACCTGGCATGAGTCGATGCCCCCGGCCAGGTAGCCGGCACAAAGCATGCTGTTGGGGCGCAGCGCGGGCCCCAGGGCACGTCGGCAAGCATCCGTGCTGAGTAGGGGCACGCGGGCCTCTCTCACCGCGCCAGCCTCAGGCCCATCTACAGGGAAGGAGTCGAGGGGGGTCACTTCTGGAAGGCAGGAAGGAGCCCCACTTTGAGGGTGCTCCCCGCTGCCCTTGTTCTTTCCGGACTAGGCTGGGTTCCCTGCCACCGGCTCCCCTTTTTCCATCAATTAGCTACCCTTTCGCGCCCGATACCTTCGAAGAGGGCCCCCCAGCCCGCAATGGCGCAGGCGGTGCCGGCGGGGGGCTCCCGGGGCGTCGGGGGCAGGCACACGGGCCGCGCGGGCCCGGCAGGGCTGGCTGGCGTCCACAGCTGCACCAGAGCCAGGTCGTTGTGGAAGGTCCGCGGGTCAAACTAGGCAGAACGAAGGCGGCGGGGCGGGTCAACGAAGGAGTGGGGGGAGACGGGGTCAGTCCTAGCCCCGGGGGGATCAAGGGTCTACTCTCTCACCTGGGGGTGGGGCAAGATGCGGTTCACCAGCACCTCCTCCGCCTGCTCGCCCCGGGGCC